CTTTCCCTAACACATATTAGAAATGAAACATTCAATATAAAAACAATACCACAAGAGTGTGAATGTACTTAATACTACTGAACTGTACACTTAAAAATGGCTAAAATGGTAAATTTATATGTTATGTGTATTTTACCACAATTTAAAAAAACCCCATAAAAACCGAAAAACTGATCAATTATCCACCCACTAATCAATGTCTGTCTTATTCAAATTCTTACCGCTTAAGATGAACTATGAGGTAATGAAGGCTGTTAAAATTTGATGCTGGCAATTGTCTTAGAAGATCCTTGCTTTTTAGAAGAATTCGGTTTATTTCTATACACGTACTTGGACACTTTTTGTCCTCAGGATTATCCTTTTTCATCTCTTGTTCTTCATTTACATGTTGGATCTCTATTGCAAGGTCTATAAATTCCTTGTACAATCGGAATAAAATAAATGGTTCTGGTAGCTAAAGAAATAAAATTACATTAGAAATATCATTCTGCCCATTTTTTCCCTGTTAATAACCTACTGAATAGCTACTGAGTGGTTTAGCATGTTCTTTTTAGAGTAACAAGACTTAAGGTCAATCACATTTAGAAATGTACATGTCTCATCACAAGGAAAAATATTTTTCTATTTCTTTAATTTTGTATCTGTATGAGATGCTGGATGTTCACTAAACTTACTGTGATAATCATTTCATGATGTATGTAAGTCAAATCGTGCTGCACACCTTAAACTTATACAGTGCTGTATGTCAATTATACCTCAATACAACTAGAAGAAAAAAAATTACACCCAAGAACAAGAAAAAGAAATGTACATATGTTTGCTATATGTGATCTATAAAGTAAATCCGATATCACCATACATTATATCTCTATTAAAAATGACTTAACTGGTAATCAGTAAAACTCTAAACCTAAAGCCACATGATATGATTTTAAAACTCTGATAGATATGCTATACCAATTACATTCATGACTGTCCCAAAGTTAGCATGATCTTCAACTATTTTATTAAAACAAACCCAGGATAATATACAATATAAGTCAAATTAATTAGAAAAAGCTTATTTTCTGTTGGTATGGGGGGAGAGAGAGAACAAAAAGCTATAGGGTGCTTGTGTTTTACTCGGGCCAGATTGAAGATTAGCAAAAGACAATATGACTTACGAGAAAGAAACTGTCAACATTTTGTCATCCTATTTTTAAATACCATTTGAATTGCCATAAGTAGGTCAAAAAAAGTTCCTCTCTCAAACTGTCAATGGGCATACCACCTTGATCTGTCTACTGGCATAACTGATTTCAATGATTTCACTGCTCAGCGATGGAAAATACAGCATCTCTCTGGCTAGCTGATGTCCTACAACATCTGTGGTGAGGTAGGCACCACTTCTCCTGTTTCCCCTTCCGTTCCCAGAGAGCGGGAAGCCTTGAGGTTAATTTCTACCTCTACCATCTTGGTCACTCTTGGAGCCTCAGATTTACCACATGGTAATGAGTAAATAAAGGGTACTCTCTTAACACTGTAAGAATTGAGCATGGCTTCCCACACGAAAGCTTTGGTCCCATAGTATTCCTAGGATAAAATGAGAGCTCATAGTATTGGACCCCATTTATTTCCTCTCCTCCACTGACTAAAAGAAATAAAGGATGATTCATTATGAGCTTAAAAGTCATTCAAAGACACTGTTTCCACTTCTCAGTTGAGAATCCTATAAAATGTGATTGAAGAGATATCAACAGTTTCCTGGGCTAATGTAGCACATCCAACATTTGTACCTAATTTCTTTCCCTCCTACCACCCCACTGAAATACAGTTAAGCCTACCGGACTGGAAGAACAGGAATGGGGACAAAAGTAACATTTCACAAGCTGAAGAGGAGGTGAACAAGTGCTGACGTAGCACTCCTGAGAAAGCTGAAATTCCAAACTGAGAACCAACATGATTTAGCGGATCCTAAGGAGACTCAGGGATTGTCAGACTAGGTCCTCTGATCTCGGGGAACGGTGAGCTATCTGAACAGCATTAGATTTCTAGATCCTTGTCTCCACTCCATGCTCCTGAGCAACCTCAGAAGTCTGGGGATTTCTTCTCCGGGCAGTGTGAAACAGAGGGTCTCTGGACGGGCAATGCCAAGCACAAGAACAGGTGGGCAACTATCTTAAAATAAGGATTGAATGACTGTGTGCCTGCTGAATGCAGAGATCCTGGAGCTTCTGACCTAACATGGCTCCCAGAGTTCTGGAACCATACCTGTAGGCAGGGAAAGACATTTCTCTGGGGTATCAGACCAGCCCAAGAGCAGAGAACTAGAGATACAGACCTCATGTACTTCCCAAACAGCTCTCCTAGATAACACTACAGTAAAGCTCAAAATCTTCAAGAGCTTCTGGATAGATTTCAGTTCCCAAAGCTTTAATTTTAAGGAGACAACTATGGAAGACAGAGTCAAAATAAGTAGGAAAAAAACCAACTTGAAGGTCTACAACTGTGCTGTCAATATCGTGGCCACTATCCACATACGGCTACTGAGCAATGGCAAGGTGGCTGCTCCAAACTGACATGTGCTCTAGATGAAAAGTATATACCATATTTCCAAGAGTCAGGGCCAAAAAGGTAAATGTTTCATTAATAATTTAAGAATATTGATTAGATGTTCAGATAATATTATCAATATGTTGAATAAAATATTAAAATTAACTTCACCTGTTTCTTTTTATGAGGCTACAAGATAATTTAATATTATATATAGGGCTCACATTATATTTCTATTGGATGGGGCTAGAAGCTAAGCAGAGGAAAGAATCCTCTTTAAAAAAAGCTACAAATAGTTCAGGTAGAAGAGATGCTGCATTCAATTTAAAAAAGAATGCTATAAAAGGGACAGAAAACCAGAATTCTTGGAAATTAAAAGATGATCTCAGAAATAGTTTACAGTAGGAATGGAAGAAAAAGCTGAGGAAGTTTCTTAAAAGGTGTTAAAAGAAAACAAAAACAAATGAAAATAGGGAAAAGGGAAGGAAACTAGAGAACCAGTGCAGTTGTTAAGTATCCAAATATAAGTTCCAGAAAGAAAATAGAGAGAAAAGAGAGAGGAGGAAATGAGCAAGAAAATTAAAGTTCCAAGAACTAAAGGACAAGTAAGCAGAATGACAGAGCTTGTGGAGTGCCTGAAACCATGGATGAAAATACACCCACATCAAGGCATACACTGTGAAATTTTAGGATAATGGAGAGAAAAAGAAGATTCTATAAGCTTTCAGAGAGAAAACAATAGGCCACATAAAAAGAATCAGGAATGAGAAGGATTTCAGGCTTCAAAGAGAATAAAAAAACACCTTCAAATTTCTGAAGAAAAATAATTTTCAGCCTACAATACTATAAACTTCCACAGTATTCCCATTCAAGAAAGCAGAATAAATACATTTACAGATCAAACAGTTTCAAATATTTACTCTTATTCCATCTTGCTCAAAGATGGGCATGACCCAAACAGGACAATAAATACAAAACAGGAAGACATGACACAGAAGACAGGTGTTTCCTCACAGAATTGGGTAAAGAGATCCCAGGATGACAGCTCTTCACCATATTTAAAAGGACCCAGATGAAGAACAAAGCTCCTGAGATGGACACAATGAGGACCATCGGCACTATGCTCTCTGTAACTGTCTCTTCACTTTCACCCAAGGACAGAGAGCTTCACCCAAGGACAGAATGCAGCTGGGCTTGTCCCAGATCTTTTGTACTTGGCTTATCATGACAATGTGCTGGTTGTTCCTGTAACCCTTCCAGGAACTGCTGCCTGAGCCACTACGGTCACTTACTTCACCCACAGAAGCGTTTTCTTCAGACCTACTCCTATAACATGAAGGTACAAGAGTGAGCAAAGAAAGAGAAAATACAGAGCAAGTCCACTCCCGACCACATTCCTGC